AACGGATGTCTACCCATATCTACACGAAAGCTTTATTTTTTTGGAAGGAACAATTACTGATGCTACCAAAGTGAAACTATCTAATAACGGTTACTCTTACCTCTTCGAACAAATACGATTGGAAATCAATGGGATAGAAGTAGATAGCACACGTGTTCTTGGAATCACTAGCTCGTTGACAGGTTACTTATCCGGCACGCCAGATAACTACAATTGTTATGAAAATGCTGGCTGGAATTTTAAAAACGCAACGCAATCGGAAAATGAAAAGGTGAATTTAGTGCTTGCATACCATTGAAATATTGGTTAGGATTGTTTGAAGATTATAAAAGAATATTAGTGAATTCTAGATTGGAATTAATATTAACCAGGAGTCATAGTGATTTAAATGCTTTACAAGTTAAAAATGGTGCATCTGCTACTGAAGGTAAAATCACCTTAAATAAAATAGTCTGGAAGGTCCCACATATAACGGTCGACGACGAAGAAAGGTTAAAATTATTGAAACTTATAGAAAAAGAAAAAAGTTTGTTTATTCCTTTTAGATCTTTTGAAACTTTTGAATATCCTGAACTCGGAACCACTAAAAAAGTTGTATGGAATTTGAAAACTGCTTCAAAATTAGAAAAACCACGATTTATCATAATTGGATTACAAAAAGGACCCAAAAATTTGCTAACAAAAGATTGTAGTATATTTGATCATTGTAATTTAACAAACGTTAAAGTATTTCTGAACTCTATAGCTTATCCATACGATAATTTGAATTTAGATTTTACTAAAAATAACTTCACCTTATTATATAATATGTATATGTTACGGTCAATGACGAAAACTGAACATTTACGTTATTAACCGGTCATTATCGTTAGAAGCCAAGTTGCTAGGTTATTTTCGTAAACTACCAGGCAATAACTTCAGTTTCCAAGATAATAGATTATTGTTGTAAATTACAAAACAAAATAAATCATATTTACCTCAATGACCGAATATTAACATTATTAACCATTGACTGTTAGTCATTTACGTAAATGACTAAAAATACTACAGTTATTAATATTTATATTATAATTTTTTTTTTATTATTAATTATACATTATATTTATTATTAATTATTTATTTTCACAAGGCATGCTGTTGTGACATTTTGAATTACATAATATTCCCGCTAATCGACAAATGCATTTGTTTGTTCTGCACTTTAGTTTCCAATTACACCTTTTGTAACCTTGCGATCCAGTGACACTACTAAATCCTGCAGCTTCTCTCAATGTAATTTCTTTTTTGGTATTTACAGATACCAAATCAACGAAACATTCTTTGCAGGGATTGATCTGCGATCGAGTATACAAATGTTTAATAATGCCGTTCTCTGTACCTAATTAAATATAAGCATTTATAAATTCAAATGAATATATCTAAATAATTTAATTATAATTTTATAAGTACCTAATTTATATAAATCATCTTCAACCTGGGTAATAACTGCTAATAGGTTTCGTGGCGATCCACGTGCTCGATCAACATCGGGTATTGAAACTTTAACTGTGGTACCAACTTCTAGCGGAGTAAATTTCTTATTTGAAATAGTCATCATTTTTTTCGCTTGTTTCTTTAAGCATTCTGTAGTCTGGTACGCACTTAATATTAATCATTTTATATTATTTTAATTATACTAAATACTTTTTTTTACCTGAATGAAGAGCTCGGTTTTTCTGGCACTGAATAAATTTCAAACCAGAGGGCCAATCCGTACCATTGTTTTCTGCCATCCACGTAGCCAACATATCCTCTACATCTCTATTTGCTCGTTCCACAGAACCTTGGCTCTGGCTGTGCCTCGGTTTACCATGAACAATTTTGACGTCTTCCCACATGTCGTGCAGTTCAGTTATAGTCGAATTTACGAATTCACGGCCATTATCTGACTGCAAAATAGCTGGTGCGCCAAAGGTCGTATAAATGTCAAGTAAATTATATGCAATCTCCTCTGCACGTTTACTTTTTAAAGGCCTTAAAATTACGAATTTGGTTAAATGGTCTTGATAACAAAAAATAAACCGAAAATCGTTAAAATGTTGGGACTGCATATCTATTAAATCTACTTGTGCTCTTGAGTTAAAAGCATTGTGTAATATCGGTTTGGAAACCAGTCATCTTTTTCTATTAGTAGATTTCTTTTGACAATGTGAACAAAGTTGTAAATATAGCATAATTGATTCCTTAGTTACATTACAATACTTATTTTTTATTTCCGCAACCATTCGATTTCTCCCACCATGTCCAATAGACGAATGAGTAGTATGAAGAATATCAAAAAGCTCTTCATTTGATACATAATAAAGCATAGTATTATTATTTTCTGGTACTGGTTTTATCAAGCGTTCTTTTCCATTAACCATTAATATTTCATACTTACGAACCATCCTGTAATCTTTTACCGATTTTTTCAATCCCTTAGTACTTAATATTTTTTTCTACTCTTTAACTTTGGAAATTTGCTCACTATACTCCGATAAACTAAAATAAGAATTATTGTCAGTCCGTTTTTGACTAATCAACTTATTAAATAAATCGTTGAATTTACTACGCATAGTACCTATCTACATCCATATTTTAATATTTAAAATTTTACGTAAATAAAGAATAATTATTTATATAAATATTTTAAAATGCAATAACACGTGAACTGGCGAACAGCGAAATGTCGAACTGGTGAACTGCGAATCAAGCGATGTCAAACGAATGCGATGTCTGAAACGATACTGAAATAGTTAAAATATACGTTATGGGGAAAAAATCCAATAAAATAAATTACCTACCTTTGATAATTTGTTAGATAACGATAACCAATCTGTTATATAACATTACATACTAACGTAGAAACGTGTCTGGATAGATAACTGACAGTGACCTGGATGTTATAAATGTTTAAATGTATAATTTACAACAACGTCCAGCAGGAGTTGGGAATTGACGTGAATAATAAAATAATACCCGTGTTTACAACATTAACCATTATGTGTCGCCATTTACGTAAATGACCGGTCACTTACGTAAATTTGTATTGTACAAGATCATTTTCGTCATTGGCCGGGCTTTAACGTAAATATCATCATTTTCGTCATTGACCGTAACATATACATCGTTTCAAGAATCGTACTATGAAAAAAGTATTCGCAACCCGATATTGAGTCCTTCTACTTTTCTGACAAACGCTCCAATTATAGTTATCGATACTTCGAAACAGAACGATTCAGCCACAGCCTCAGCAGTGGATGTTCAATTAGAAATTGAAGCTTCAGAATCGCTCACAGGTGTGACTGCTTACTGTTTCTTAATTCATGATCGTATTGTAGAATATGTACCTTTTACTAGAGAAGTAAGAAAACTTGTGTAAATATTATTAAGAATTTATTTGTAACAATAAAAAAACTATGATTTAATAATTTGTGTTTTTTCTTGAAATAATTATTTTAGTTTTAAAAATTGGTAAATGTTAAATATTTTTTGTGTGAGACGAAATTTGGTGAACAATCAGTGTAAAATTTGTTACACGGTAAATCTGAGTGCTCCAAGGGGACATTCCCCCCTTGAACTTTTTTTTTCCCTGGAAAAGCTGTCTGTGAACATACAAATATATACTACTAATAATATTATTAAATTATAGTGTTACTGACCTTAGTAATAAATTTTATTTTAGCTCACTGATCCGTTTTTTCATAGTGGATTTCGAGTTCTTAACGGCTAGTAAAGAAGAAACATTATTGGTATCCGGGGCGAATTCGAATAGTTTAGAAAAATACCAGCCCAAGAAATTGGAAGGAAGTCCTCTTATACTTACAAAATACGATAAGTTAAGAAGATTCCGGCTATGCGACCTTAAGAAAATCGTGCAAACAATCAAACGGGTATTCCGAGGGATAAAGGCAAGCGTGATTGCACCACTGTTGGACCAATTATACAAAAGTGTAAGCCACCAGGGGGAATCAACCTTGTCAACTTTTTACTTGCAAAGATTTTTGCACATAGACAATAGGGATCCAATAATAGTTTTCTGGAATGACATTAATTAAACGGTTAAGATTAAAGGGTATTTTAGCATTTTTAAATATATCAGCATATAGTATTAGGAATAATGATGAAATTTAATTTAGAACTAACAAATTTAGAAACTAAAGAAGTTTTATATTCAGGGTATTTAGGGAAAATGAATAAAAACGGCAGAATGTTAGGACTATCAGAAGCGCATAGATTAATGTGTGATACTAATCATAATATTACGTATTGTCATGACTCAATTGCCGACGTAATCTTAAAGGACCATGAAAGGAAAAAATTTAAATTTATTTTATACTCAAAAAACACAGTACTCCGTGTTTAAAAAATAATGGTTCAAACTAAAAATGTTTACGACTTATCGTTGGCGATATACAGGCATTTGAAGTTGACGTGTGACGTCATAGAATCTATTCTCCTGGCGTTTATACATGTAAATATTACGTCTTCAACTTTGTTTCCCATTATTATGAATGTAATATTCAATATACCGGGTTTGGTCTTAGAGATATTTTTAACGTTCATAATTTTCGATTTAACTTAATGTTATAATATTATATAATTAACTATAGAAATAATTATAGTGGCATAGTCACAAAATATGATAATGTTCAACAGTCTATACTCTATTATTGTAATCGTTGATAAATTATATTCCCAGTTCCCACTCTCAGAACAATGTTATAAATATTATTTTTCGGTAACACGCAATCATGATAATTCAGTCATTCAAATTATTTATTATTTTATAAATCAGTACTACGTGAACTATGATAATGGTCGTCGTGACGTGTTTTATAAAGTAGTTTCGTTTTTAGAGACGTTTTCGTTTGTTTTTTCGATTTTGTTTTTCTTTTATTTGTAGTGTTGTATAAATGTATGCTCTATAAAAAATTAGAAAAGTGTAACAATAAATATAAAAATTAACAAAAATTAAAAATATGACTCTGTGTTGTGTTTATGGTTGTTCGTCATATTCTGGTAAAAATGTACAATTTTTCTCTTTCCCAAGAAAAGATAAACATCATGGTACATTTAAAAAGTGGGTATCTTTTTGTAAAAGAAAGAATTTTGTACCTTCTTCAGGTACCAGAATATGTCCTAAACATTTTAGAACTGAAGATATGAATCAATCTGATTTGCTCCGAAAACAGTTGATGCCAAATGAAAATATTCGAATACGTTTAAATGCTGATGCTGTTCCTACTGTAAGTTTTGACGACGAGAAAATTACGCCGAACACTGTAAGAAGACAATTACTGAGAACCAGTACACAAAAAAAAGTAAAATTACAACCATCAACATCAACTAATATTATATGTATGAATAATTGTCAAGAACAAAATAGTGAAGAGTATCTGATTAATACAAATGTCGAAAATAAAAACGATAAAGGTATACAGTGTGATATGGATAATGAAACAAATACTGATGCTACCGAATCATTCGATTTTCCATCTGATATTAGCTCTCCAGATGACGAATCAGAAACAACTTATGGAGAAGATGAAGAGCAGCTCGATTATCTTAGCGCTAAAACACATTCACTAGAAAAGGTAGATAGAAATGCAAGTTTTATAGTTTTTTATGATTGTTTATCTGAACTTTTTATTCATTGTCGTCAATGTATCAGTAAAATAATATCAAAAACATATTTTACGCAAGGTGCTTTACTTTCTATTACGACAGTCTGTAATAAAGGTCATAAATTACAATGGTCATCGCAAAAAAAAATAGGACGTCGTCCTCAAGGTAATATTTTAATCGGTTCAGCACTTATGTTATCGGGTGTATTTTTTACCCAAATGACGGCATTTTGTCAGTCGCTTAACTTGTCGTTTTTTTCTCGGCCAGTTTATGACAATATAATAAAATATTTTACGGGCCGGGTTATTTGCGAAGTTTGGGATGACCATCGAAAAAAAAAACTTAGAATTACTAAAAATTCTGATATTTGGTTATCGGGTGATGGACAGTTTGATTCGCCTGGATTTTGCGCAAAATATTGTACATATTCAATTATGGATCTACACACAAGTAAAATAATTGATTTTAAGCTCGTACAAAAAGGTATGTTTCAAGGTGATCTCGAAAGAAAAGTGTGTGAATTATTATTAGAAAATTTAACTAAAGAAGAAAATATGAAAATTAAATTATTTTTATCCGATAGGCATAAAGGTATACGGTATTATTTACGAACACAGCACCCTGAGATTGAACATGAGTTTGATATATGGCACTTAACAAAAAGTTTAATGAAGAGATTAAAAACATTAGAAACGAAACATCCAGATGTTTTTCTATGGAAATCTAGTATTAACAACCATTTATGGTGGTCGGCGCAAACTTGTCAAGGAAATGGTAAAATATTGGTTGAACATTTTTTATCAGTTTTACATCATATTAGTAATGAACACGAATGGGAAAGTGGAGAAATAAAACGATGTGAACATGAGTCAATATCAGAAAAAGAATCAAATTAAAAATTATGGATTAACCCTCTGAGTGAATCATTCTTTGCGTTAAAAAAAATTTTAACAGTGAAAGATTTTATAAAAGATTTGGAACAGGCAAAACATTTTGTTCATACGGGTCGGTTAGAATCTTACCACAATGTACGACTAAAATATATGCCGAAGCGCATACATTTAAAATATAATGGTATGTATTTACGTTCCATTTTAGCAATACTAGATCATAATTATAACACAGGCAAAAACATAATTGGTGATAAAATGGTTTTTTCGAAATCTCTTCGAAAATACACAATAAAAAATACTTACGAACGATCAAAGACGGATTGGCGGAAACAAATTATGAATAAGATTGAAGAATTGTCAAAAGAAAAGAACCTATGAATATCTCTGAAAATGTATCTGTTCCACAAAATATAGTTCTTTTACCGAAACCAGATTTAGTCGAAATGCGTGAAAAAAAATATTCAAGATATTCTAATAAATAAAATAAGTATTTTTATCAAACTTTATTGTACTTTATTGTCACCAGGCTAGTTATCTTTTAGTTGTATAAAATAATATTTGAGTCTCAAGGTGTATACATTTTCATAAATAAAACATAAATAATTACAGATTATAAATAATTTTAATTTATTTTTAATATGGTATTTTTGAGTTTTTAAAACCAGTGTATTGTCCATCTTCTTCGGCATACTTTGTACGAATTACATTTATTACACACGCTGGGATTACAACTCGATTTCCTAAATCAAGTAAATAATCTAATAAATACTTTTATTAAATTTGAAAAAAAAATTACTTAATTTACCTTTTCCTATAGGTGTCCATTCATTTGCCCAGAAAACAAATTGTTTGTAGCACAGATATCTTCTCGTTTTATTTTCCAGGATAGTATTGCACAGTAAATTCTTTTTTCCCTTATTTTTTTTTTGGAAATGATTTGTTTTCGAGTAATGTCAATAACTTCTTCATCCATTATTAATTTCGAAAACGATGGGTTTTCTATAACACATTTATATATACCACGTAATTTATTTAAAATGTCTATTTCCGAACAGCAAATACACTCGCAATCCGTTGGTAATATTGTGCATTTTTGACAGTTACACCAATTATCTATTTGAAGCAATGATCTACCAAAGCATTGGCTAAATTAATTATGGTTAGTATTAAAAGAATCATAGTCATCGCAGAAATCTGATTTCGTTGGTTCAAATTGATATGGTGATGTACTGATGTCATATAATCTTCAAAACATGAACCAGGACACAGTAAAACATTGCAAGCTTTACATTGATACTGGGTTTGTTTCCTAACGTGTTTTTTTGTGCACATTTTGCAGTTTTGAAGTATGTTTCTTTTATACAGTGGAGGTAATGGGATTTTTTCTTGATAGTGTTGTCCTTCTTCTGACATTGGTCGTTTGGTTTTTGGATCTTTTGATTTTGGAGCATTAAAAATTTGATTAGCTGTTACATCTATTGGAAGGTTTATCATATTTTTTTATTACAATATCGCGAAAATCTTTAAAAGTCATAGAATTGCAGCCAAAATGTTTTTTGTATAGGTAAAAACTATTCCACACTGTAATATCTAACAGATGAAATAAAACTTTTTTATACCATCATGATTGTTTTCGTGGGCTGCTGTAATATTTTACCATTTGGTCTGACGTATCTATACCACTCGTATTATTATTATACTGAATAATTTCATTTGGTTTATTTTTTTCATTTCCGAATCGATTTTTGGATGATAAAAGCTGTGGATGGTACTTTGTAGTTATCGCTAAGGCCGATCGCACACCAAAAGAGCAATACTGCGTTAGACAGTGTTCGTCATTTTCGTCATAGTCAACTAAAAACAATTTGTTTTTATAAAATGCACACTACCTAGACAAAACAAAAATCAGTTGTCATCATGTCATCTGATGAAGATGTAGCGATTTGCATGTGGTACACATTACAAAATTTAGAACAGAATCATAAAAAAAAAAAGTTATGGATTCATCCGTTAAATAAATAAACGTATCACTCATAATGTAATTTTAACTTTATTATGCGAACTACGTTCAGACGAAAGTAAATTTAAAAATTATACACGTGTAAGTAGTGTTACATTTGATTTTATACTGCAAGAAATAGGAGAAGAAATAAGGAAAGAAGATACAAATTTTAGAAAAAGTATTTCTCCTGAGGAAAGGCTTTTGGTTACACTGAGGTAAGAAACCTAATTGTTTTTTTAATCATTTTTATTTTTTAATAAATATAAAATTAATCATAATACATTTTTTTAAGTAGTTAACAAAGTAAACTTAAACTTATAAATCTTTTTTGTAGTTAATTATGTTTTAAATTTGTTTATATTATTATTATAACTTATAAATTAAAAAAAAAATATCATTTGAATGAATTGTTATTTCCTTGTGAAGACGAAGATAAATCCGAAGCAAAATCACTGTAGTAATTGTTTACATTTTGGTTTTGATTAATTTGTTGATCTGTGTTTTGTCCTGCTATAAAAATCATATTTTGGTCCATGATAGGTCTGGCTTGATATAAATGATTACTCTGATGTTCAACTGGTCTAGGATACATATTATTTATATTGTTTTGAAATGAAGCTATTTGATTACTGTCTTCTTGTTCATCAAGATAACTATTTAAAGATGACATAACTAAATTTTTGAATTTCCTTTGATTTTTATCATTAAGTTTTTTATAGTCTGGAATAAGGCTTTTAAAAAATAACAATTCTGGAGGTTCCTCAACTGGTGCTGGCTTTGTAGTTCTTGATTTCAAAAATTCTATCATCGGTTCTGCTACCTTATCACTTGCTGTTGTTTTATATGCATTTTTACGTAAAGTTAATTTTGGTTTTTTAAACATTGGTTCAATAATGTCTCGTTCACTCTCCATTACTGTATTATCTACTATATTATCTCCTGTATTTCCTACTACTAATGTATCATCTTCTTCAGACTCTACGATTTCTACGGACTCATTTATATAATCGTTATCAATGTTGATACCCATTTTTTTATGCTGCATCATAAAACCAGTTAAAAAAACCCATACAATCAAAAAGGTACCATTTTCTTTTTTTAGAACCAGCTGACCCAGATTTTTTATTTTTGAGTTCACGAAGTTCCCTTGCAAATGAATTACGAAGACTAGTCCACTTACTTTTGCATACCGACACTATAAAAAACAATACAAACATTTCACAAAATAATCATTCAATGGCGTACAAAGAATATGTTTACAATTATGATTAATAACAATTTATACATATAAAATTAAGTACATTTCAATATTCGACATACTATTAATTTTTTTTTAAACTAATACATACTTCGTTTAATTAAGAATTCATAATGGTTCATGTAAAAAAAAGTTAAAAATTTTTAATTTATTTAAACATTTATTTTTTAGTTTTTTGGCTTCTGGTGAACATTTTCAACGCATCTATTATAGTCTTAGATTAGGAGCTACCACTGCAGGTAAAATTGTCAATGATACGTGTTGTGCATTATGGAAAATACTATCGCCACAGTTTATGCCTCTACCTTCGACTGATGGTTGGTTGAACATTGAAAAAGAATTTGACAAATTTTGGAATTTTCTTAACTGCGTAGGTGCCATAGATGGCAAACATATAGCTATTCAATGTCCACCAAATTCAGGATCTAGTTATTACAATTATAAAGGACACCACTCTATTATTCTTCAAGCAGTAGTTGACGCCAACGCAAAGTTTATATTCATAGATGTAGGTGATTTCGGTCGTAACAGTGATGGAGGAATTTTAAAAGAATCAAATTTTGGAAAACTATTGGACAATAATAAACTACTTTTACCTCCACCGAGAAAATTCATGAAGAAGTCGAAGATGAATTCCCATTTGTATTTGTTACGGATGAAGCGTATCCGTTAAAAAAAAATTTGATGAAGCCATTTGCAAGAGAACAACTGACAAATCCGAAGTGAATTTATAACTATCGTCAATCACGAGCGAGAAGAATAGTAGAGTGTGCTTTTGGTATTCTAACAAAACGATTTAACGTATTTGAAAATAAAATGATAGTTAATCCGGAAAAAGCTACAATCATAACTCAAGCTGCTTGTGTACTTCACAATTTAATTATGGAAAAAGAACATAATCTAACTGACATTCATAATAAAATGGAAACAACCTCATCACGGGTAAACCAAGAAGACATCATCAACAAACCTACAAATCGCAGACCACCAAGAGAAGCTATAGATATTCGTGAAAAGTTTATGAAATATTTCAACTCTGAAAAAGGATCAGTTCCATGGCAAAATGTATATACTGTTTAAATACCTAAGCTAAAATTGTTTGTTTTAAATAAATAATTTTTTTAAATAAAAAAAATACTGTTGTGTTGTGAAACGTTGACAGTACACATTTTTAACGACAGTTATGTTGTTTTAAATAAGTAATGTTGTTTTCAATGTTTTCAACTTCGTACAAGTATACAATTTGTAATTTCTTATGTAATAATAATGATTCAATAACTTCATAATACTTTATAATAAATAATAATACTTTATAACTAATATATTCAAATTACCATCAACATTCATTTCTTTACTTATTTCTTCCCATAACTTGTCTTGCACAATTCGATTGCTATGAGCCTATGGTCCTTGTCTCCAAAATCATAAATGGATGGTCTTATTTCCACTAAACTTACTAGTATTTCTCCATCACAAGCCATTATGTGATAAGTATATAAAAAATATAAACAAAATACAAAATACACACGAATAATATTCTTTCTTGTCTAGTTGTGACTAACGAAAAATGTGGACACTCAGACAGTATCAGTCATGACTAATTGTGATTTAAAGCAAAAACGTTTTGTTTTGACTATGTCTTATTAATGTGCGTATGCAACGTAATTTCCTATGTTCTATTTTTAACAAAACTGTGTTAGGCTGACTAACACTGTAAACGCAGTTTTGCTCTATTGGTGTGCGATCGGCCTAATACATCCCTTTACGATACATAAATGTTTTCTTGTCGACGCCAAATATATTCCCCAGATTTTAACTTTTTTGTGGTTACACATTTTGGGTTGCCTTTACGGTTACTGCGTAGTGTTCCTGTTGTATGTGTTTTTCGATTTAGGAGTTCTCTTGAAAGACTTATACTATCATAATAATTATCCATAAACACTGTATGCCCTTGTAACGTAGTCGGGGATGACCAGTTAAATATAAGATATTCAGGGAAGAAATTAATTCTTTTGAATATATTTTTACCGTAGCTCGGGAGCACGAATGGTATTAGGATCTTAATATTACAAATAAATAACGATTGATCTAAATTATTATTAATACAAACAAATTATTTATTATAACTTACAATTTACGAACAAAGTTACCAAAAATGTAGGATTGTACGGAGTTCAGGTGCACGTGATGGACTCGCGGAGAACTAGTATTCTCTTACATAGGGATATTGGCCGGAGCCTTACAATCATAAAATATATATATGTGTCACCTAAACCGAAGGGGCTTATTATATTATTATAGTCAGCGCATAATATGCCTAATGTGGATATTATGATGCTTATAAAATAAACGTAATGATGTAACATACGTTACACCCTTTATCAAGAAAAGTTCCAAAATACGAAAAAGTAAACAAATGGTAAAAAAATTATTTATTTCCTCCTAATTAATGTGTGGTGTGCTGTTATTAGTTCTGTTTTAAGTTTCTGAAAGAATTTCCTTGTCTGTAGTGTTTTTTGAACTGTACGAGAAGTAGGTGGTGAGTTTCTATTCATTTTATATTTCTTATTCATATGGGTATGTTTTAAATATTTGTTTCTTCTTTTTAATTCCTGAAATAGTTAAAGTGACTTGTTACATAGTTGTCATATTTGTGATTATTTGTGAGTATTATTCTATTTATTTATTACTTTCCATTTGTCTTCATTTATTTATTAATATTATTTCCTTCAACACAACAATTATTATTACATATCTATAATTTACATGATATATTAATTTTATTTATTCTTATTAACTGTTTATTGCTTAAATTTATTACTTAGTAATTATTATCTTTTATTAATATCTTACGTATTTATTTTTGTTTTGTATGATTTATATTATTTGTATTAAATTTAATCATCTACAATATTATAAATAAAGTAAATGATTCGTTATAGCTAGCGACTACTCTTAATATATTTTATTCTTATCTTGGCGATGGTGGTGCGGTGAATAATGTCTCTCTTTGTAATCGTTTGTGCTGGTGTTCTATATCTAACTATTCTTCCTGGCATATCTCTTATATGTCCATTACTAATATATTTGCATTTAATTAATATATATATTGCAATTATAAGTATGAGAGACAACGATGCTAGTAATATTGTTACATATAATAAATTACTGTGTATAAATTGATGTTTTTGATTTTGTTCTCTTGAAAGTTCTTGGTCAATCATTTGTTTTACC